CGATCGTTCATTCGACGTTCGAAAGCCCGTTAAACGTCTTAAACAATAAGGTTCTTGGAGTGAGCAAAGCGGGTAAGATCGTGTTTTTAGAAGATTCATCCAAATTAGAACACTTGAAGAGATCATTCAACTTCGGCAGTGATGATATCACTGTGTTAAAGAAACACGAATTCTTGATGCCAGGTTTTATTGATACTCATATACATGCACCGCAGTATCCATACATGGGAAYAGGTTACGATTTGCCTCTACTAGACTGGCTTGATCGGTAYACGTTCCCTTACGAAGCCAAGTACCAAGATGTAGACTTCGCAGAGAAAGTCTATAGGAAGGTAATAACYARAACACTAGGTCATGGAACTACGACTGCAAGTTATTTCGCAACCATCCATTATGAAGCGACGGCGATTTTAGCTGACATTGCTGAGGAGATGGGTCAGAGAGCTTTCATCGGTAAAGTTTGTATGGATAGAAATGCGCCAGATTACTACATCGAAAGTACGCAACAGTCATTGATCGACACAGAGAGGTTTATCAACTACGTATACAGGAAGAACAACAGCTTGGTCACGCCTGTGGTCACGCCACGATTTGTCATAACATGTAGCGATGAGCTGATGAAAGAACTTGGTGAATTGTCCAGAAAGTACAAGATACCTGTCCAGTCACACCTAAGTGAGAATAAACAAGAAATCCAGACAGTCCAAGAAATGTATCCTAACTGCGCACACTACACTGATGTTTACAAACAGTATGGACTGCTGACAGACAGGTCATACATGGCACATTGTTGCCACGTCTCCCAAGCTGAAGCGACAATGCTAGCAAAGTGTGGTACTGGTATCTCGCACTGTCCAGCTTCAAACGTGAATCTCCACAGTGGTCTTGCTGACGTGAAATTCCTGGAATCTCAAAACATCAAAGTTGGTCTTGGAACTGATGTTTCTGGTGGTCATTCATATTCCATGTTAAATGCCATCCAGTCAGCCATGACTGTTTCTAACATTCTTGCCATGAGGTGTGATGGTTACAAACCCATCTCACACAGAGAAGCGTTCTACCTGGCAACTTTGGGTGGTAGCAAAGTCCTTGGTTTGGACAAGATTGTGGGTAACTTTGAAGTTGGTAAAGAGTTCGATGCCTTGCTAGTTGATGGAGCATCACAGGAATCCGTGTTTGATTGTTTTGATGATGATGACATGGAACAAGTCGTGCAAAAGTTCTTGTATTGCGCCGATGATCGAAACATCAAAAAAGTCTTTGTTGCTGGCAAAATGGTCGCTGGAAAGGATAAAAAACATGATAATTAAC